GGACCCAGTATATATATATATATATCTATGTATGTGTGTGTGTGTAATTGGGTGATGTGTATATAAATCACTTTATTTTTATTTATATATTCTACATCGTTTTCATTACAAGAGTTTGAAGATATCTCTTGGGAATTGTAAAAATAAATTAAATCATAAAAATATTGAAATTTAAATACATTTTGTTATTATAAATAATAATTTTTATAAAACATAAAAGGGAAATTGGCATACATGCCACTCAAATCTTGTGTATTTATACACCTAACAACTTAATATTTACATTTATAACATCTTTAGTTTAGCATCTTTTTAGTGGTGCATTTCCATTGATTCAACATAGTGCGTTTGGGGCAAAGGTGCAGCTCTGCAGTACCGCACTGCACCTTCGGGAATTTTGCAAAAATGTTTTTTGCTTTTTTTTTTTTTTTTTAATTACAGTATAAATTGTGTTTTGTAAGTGCATTAGCTTTCAGAAATACTCTTAATTATGTAATTAGAGATAATTACTTTGCCCTGGAGCCGCACGTGCGAGGATGGCCCCACCTGCAGTTCTCCCAGGTCCAGAAACCTCTGCCGACGGACGGGCCTGTGAGCTCCGCTGTCTCCCTCTCGTAGGCCCAATTGAAAAAGTGATGGCCCTCACAATACGCCAACTTGGTTGGCCCGCCATGAAAGAGTCCAATAACGTGGCTGGTGGCGAGGCGCAGCGGGCCCACATATTAGGTTCCGTGGTGACAGCGGGACTGCTTGCGTGGCGGAACTGGAAAGTAAGGAATTATGCCACGTGGAGTCCGACAAGTCACATGAGATGGCACTTTGATAGCTAGTTTTTTCTAGCGTGGAGAGGCCAGTTTGGTAATTTTATTAGGATTTTTCTTCCTTGCTGGAGGTGATATTAAATATTATAGGATATAAGGGAAATATATAATTGTATTTTATTTTTTAAATTTACATTAAAAGTTTATTTTTAAGTAATTTAACAATTGAAGGCAAGAAAAGACATGAATAAATATGAGATTATAAATTATTAAATTTTGTTTAATAATAATAATTAAATAATATAAATTTGATAAAAATGAGAAACTAATCATGCAATAATCATCTGAATCAGGGCAGTAATAAAACCTAGAAATCTACTAATTAATTAATTATTTTGTGATGTGACAAATGAACTTTTGTTTTTGTTTAATTTCAATGTTGATTTGACAAATAAGCAAATAGAGCATAAGATATTGGTAAATTGTTTATTAAAAGCTATTTTATATGTAATGTAAATTTATTTTCATAATCTATTTTATAATTAACTTCATTTTTTTAATCCAAAACCTAGAAATCTACCTTCCAACAATTTTTT